TTCCACACTCGCCTGCAGAGCAGAGGGAGCCAATCTTGCCTTGGTTCTTTCCTTCTGTCCCTATTTGGGAAAGAGAGGCAGGGGGTACCAAGGATAGCCCTGTACCAAGGAGGACAAAATGTCTGAGTCTAGGGTCCTTTGGGGTTTCTTGTGGGGCTGTAAATACGTTTTTCTGAACATGTTAATGTTTTTATAAAAATAGAGGCAACTTCAAAATGGAATATCTGCACTAATGAGTATATACAGCACAAAGAGATATGTGACTGACTTTAGCACTATTATATGACACTGCCTCCTTGCACTGTCAACTTTGAACTAAACCTTTATTTAGAGCGATGACAGAAGAGAAATGTGATTCACGGATCCTCACTAGCCAGTTTCTGCCTACCTTTCTAGTGTGGCATGGTCAGTTTCCCAGTAGATGGTACATCACTGTCAGCTCCACATCACCATGGGACACATTGGGACCCTCCTCAGTGATCAGGAAATCATGAAATCAGTGACAAAGTGCAGCAATGGCATTCTTGAAATGATGGAGACATAAAGACCCATCACATGTACACAGAGTTAAACAGAGTTTGGAGACATGAAAATTAGAGGATGGACAACAATTTAAGATATGCAAGTGACACCATGCTGCTAGCAAGAACCAGCAAATACTTGGAATAATTGGGTTGCTGTGAGTTTTCTGGGCTGTATGGCCATGTTCCACAAGCATTCTCTCCTGACATTTTGCGCACATCTATGGCAGGCATCCTCAGAGGTTGGGGGTTTGTTGGAAACTAGGCAAGTAAGGTTTATATATCTGGAATGTCCAGGGTGGAAGAAATAACTTCTGTTTGAGGCAAGTGTGAATGTTGCAAATGGCCATGTAGCTTCAAAGCCTGGCTGCTTGCTGCCTGGGGGAATCCTTTGTTGGGAGGTGTTAGCTGGCCCTGATTTATTCTTGTCTGGAATTCCCCTGCTTTTTGGGTGTTGTTGTTATGTACTATCCTGATTTTAGAGTTTTTAAACACTAATATGATTGCCATATTTTGTTCATTTTCCTCCTTTCTGTTGAAATTGTCCACATGCTTGTGGACTTCAGTGGCTTGGAATAATTATTGAAGTAAGTCAAGAAAGAAAGTGCAAAGGCTGAGCAAAAGAAAAATAATTGCCACAGATAGGTTTACAGAATTGTAAAGTAGACAACAAACAGCTTGAGATAGTTACAAAAAAATCTCCATAGTTTGATTCAAGAAACCAGAAAAAGACTAAGACTTGGAAGGGCATCTATGAAGGAACAAAAGATCCTGAAGTGTAAGGATATTATTATTATTATTAAACTTTATTTGTACCCCTAGCATCTCCCAAAGGACTCGATGCGGCTTACAAAGGCCAAGGCCTCAACACACAATATAACAATACAAAACCTAAAGCAAATTAAAACAATTAAAGCAAAATAAACAACAGGCAATAAACAATACACTAATACACAATAAAACTGGGCCGGGCCAGAGTAATGGGTACAAGATTAAAAGTGCTGATGTGACAGGTGGTATATAAGGCATTGTAGGGCAAGTGCAGTATGCGGTATGCAGCAATCTTAGTTTTAGTAAAGTGCTTATGGGACTTGGTATTGGAGATTTCCTAATCTGGGAAGGCACATCGGAACAGCCAGGTCTTCAGGTTCTTTCTGAAGACTGCCAATGTAGGGGCCTGTCTAAGATCTTTGGGGAGGATGTTCCAGAGTCAGGGGGCCACCACGGAAAAGGCCCTGTCTCGTGTCCCGCTTGCACGCTTGCGACGCAGGCGGGATCACGAGCAGAGCCTCTCCAGATGACCAAAGTGAACGCGTGGGTTCGTAGATGGAGATGCGGTCACGCAGGTAGGATGGTCCCAAACTGTTCAGGGCTTTGTAGGTAAGCACCTGCACCTTAAATTGGGCTCGGAAAATAAACGGCAGCCAGTGGAGCTCCTTGAACAGGATATATCATTTAAGAGCAACATTAGGATTGTTCATGCCATCATATTTCTAGTTTCTGTGTAACAGAGTGAAAGTTTAACACAACTACAGAAGTAGGCCTTCATTCAAGAGTGGCTTGGATGGGAGTACCCTAAGTCTAAGGCAAAGCATTACCTCTTTTCCTCTCATGGACAAACTTCCCCTGCTACTCAGTAGGATTTGGCATGGTGTGGGGGTAGTTTTGCTTTTTGTGTAGTCAAAATCATCTTTCCTACAACACCTAACATTTCACAGATGAAAAGCGACATCAAAGCAGTCATGATGACAAAAATATCATCTAACACCAACTAACACCTCCAAACAAATACTCCCCCCAGGCAGCAATCAGCCAGGCTTTGAAACTGCAAGACCATTAAATGCTAATCAAGGTGGCCGATTGCAACATTGACACTGGCCTCAAGCAGACAAGAGTTCTTTCTCCCACCCTGGACCTTCCACAGATCTATAAACCTCCCTTGCTTAGCTACCAATATGTGAATGTTGCAATTAATCATCTTGATTAGCATTGCAAAGCCTTGAAGCTTCAAGGCCTGGTTGATTCCTGCCTGGGAGAATCCTTTGTTAGGAGGTGTTAGCTGGCCTTGATTGTTTCATGTCTGGAATTCCCCTGGTTTTTGAGGGTTGCTCTTTTAGATTTTAGAGTTTTTAAAATACTGGTAGCCAAATTTTGAAGCAGCCAGTCTTCGAAGCTGCAAGGAAATTCAATGCTGATCAGGGTGGCTAATTGCAACAGTCACACTTGCCCCAACAGACAAAAGTTCTTTCTCCCACCCTAAACATTCCACAGATACATAAACCTCACTTGCCTACTTTCCAACAGACCTCACAACCTCTGAGGATGCCTGCCACAGATGTGGGTGAAAGGTCAGGAGAGAATGCTTCCGGAACATGGCCATACAGCCTGGAAAACTCACAGTAACCCAATGATTCTGGCCATGAAAGCCTTCAACAACACACAAAAATTGTGATTAAGAAAGAACATACCAGCTAGGAGATGCTGGTGCGGTTTGCTTTTGCTTGACTCTTGGGAAAGATAAGATACTATCACATCCCCGGTGGCACAATGGGTTAAACCCTTTTGCCAACAGTGGTTTGAATCCGGGAAGAGTGGGTTGAGCTCCCTCTGTCAGCTCCAGCTCCCCATGTGGGGACATGAGAGAAACCTCCCACAAGGATGGTAAACCATCTCATCAAGGATTTTTCAGCATTGAGCTATGACAGTGGTTTCAAACTGCATTAATCCTACAATGTTGATGCACCCTGCTTTAGACACAGTCTGTTTCAGAGTATCACTAAATCAAAGGGACTAGTCACTTGTGTTGTAATTTTGTAGTTGTCTAGGCGTAGTAATGTACCATATATTTAAATGCTAAATCAGGACACATTATAACCAGGAAGGAGCCCCCGATGGTGCAGTGGGTTAAACCCTTGTGCGGGCAGGACTGAAGATCAACAGGTCAGAGATTCAAATCCAGGGAGAGCACAGATGAGCTCCCTCTGTCAGCTCCAGCTCCCCATGCAGGGACATGAGAAAAACTTCCCAGAAGGATGGTAAAACATTTTTAAAAATCCGGGCGTCCCCTGGGCAATGTCCTTGCAGATACTCCACTTGCAAGATACTCCACTTAGGCAGAAAAAATGAAATGCAAAGATACAGAATAGGGGACGCATGGCTTGAGAGCAGTATGTGTGAAAAAGATCTTGGAGACCTCGTGGAAAACAAGCTAAACATGAGCCAACAATGTGATGTGGCGGCAAAAAACTCTGCTCCAGAGTGTGGTGGAGGTTCCTTCTTTGGAAGCTTTTAAACAGAGGCTGGATAGCCATCTGCTGGGGGTGCTTTGAATACAATTTTTTCTGCTTCTCGGCAGGGGATTGGACTGGATGGCCTATGAGATCTCTTCCAACTCTATGATTCTAAAGAATCCAATGGGATTTTGGCCTGCATAAATAGGAGTCTAGTGTCTAGATCCAGGGAAGTCATGCCACCCCTCTATTCTGTCTTGGTTAGACCACACCTGGAATATTGTGTCCAATTGTGGGCAGCATAACTGAAGAGAGATATTGACAAGCTGGAATATGTCCAGAAGAGGGTGACTAAAATGATCAAGGGTCTGGAGAACAAGCTGTATGAGGAGCGGCTTAAAGAGCTGGGCATGTTCAGCCTGCAGAAGAGAAGACTGAGAGGAGACATGATAGCCATGTATAAATATGTGAGAGGAAGTCACAGGGAGGAGGGAGCAAGCTTGTCTTCTGCTTCCCTGGAGACTAGGACGAGGAACAATGGCTTCAAACTACAGGAAGGGGAATTCCACCTGAACATTAGGAAGAATTTCCTGACTGAGAGCTGTTCAGCAGTGGAACTCTCTGCCCCAGAGTGTGGTGGAGTCTCCTTCTTTGGAAGCTTTTAAATAGAGGATGGATGGGGGTGCTTTGAATGCAATTTCCTGCTTCTTGGCAGAGGGTTGGACTAGATGGCCCATGAGGTCTCTTCCAATTCTATGGTTCTATGATTCTACGGCCAATTCTCACACACCAGAAGCGACTTGCAGTTGCTCCTGACGTGGAGAAAAAAAATTGTCCCCTCCTTTTTCCCCTGATAAATTCAGCAAACCAAAGGAATCCTAGGAAGGGAAAGGTAGGAGGAGGAGAGAAACTGGGATTTTAAAACTCCTGGATATTGGGAGGACAGAGGATTAAACAGCTGCCAAAGCTGGACAGTTGGAAGGCAAGGCATGGATGGCTCATGAGGTCTCTTCCAACTCTTTGATTCTATGATTCTATGATTAGCCATGAGGTCTGTAGCACCTATCATTTGCCTGCATCCCACTTGATTCAAATTCTGTCTTTGAAGGTCAAGATTATATGTTGGGCAAGGGGTTTCTTTTGGAACCAACCATCCAAATAAGCGGGAGGAAGCCAAAAGGAGCCTGCCTTTCGGCTGCCTCTTCCCCTGAAGGCTGGGGGGGGGGGGGGTGGGACGGGGTGGCTTGGCTTTGCCGCAGACGAGCAGGAGGTGGGGTTTGGAGCTGGCATCCGAGCAGAGGACGTGGAGCATCAGTGGAGGAGGAGGAGGAGGAGGAGGAGGAAGGCGCTTTTCACTGCAGAGGGATTGCGGCTGGAGAGAGCAGCGCTGGAGACCAAGGCCAGGTAACGCACACGGTGCAAGGGCTGTATTTTCTGATTAGACTTTAACCCATCTCCGAATGGAGAAAGCCTTCGCCAGCAGAGAAGAGGGAGCTCACTTTGCCCTGGTCCTTTCTTACCAGGCAGAAAGCGCAGGGCGATTTGCAGGAGGGCCAAAAGGCTGGGCCTGGGGGTTTCTTGTGGGGCTGCTTCAGGCCAGTGGTTCTCTCAACCTTCCTAATGCCACGACCCCTTCATACAGTTCCTCTTGTTGTGGCCACCCCCAACCATAACATTATTTTGGTTCTACTTTCTAACTCATTTTGCTATTTGATATATTAGTAATATAATATAATACTAATAATATGATATTATAATTATGTATTTTATATCACATGTAATATTACTCATAATATTACAAGATAATGGCATAGTATAATATAGTAATATATAATACTGATATTGTACTATGCTAATAATATAATATATTGTATGTATGTATATCTTGTAAGCCGCTCTGAGTCCCCTTCTGGGTGAGAAGAGCAGCATATAAATGTCGTAAATAAATAAATAAATGCCATAAATAATTAAATACATTTTACCACTGTTATGAATCTTAATGTAAATATCTGATATGCAGGATGGATTTTCATTCACTGGGCCAAATTTGGCACAAAGACCAACTATGCCCAAATTTACATACTCCTGGGGTTGAGGAGGGGAGGTTGATTTGCTCATTTAGGAGTTGTAGTTGCTGGGATGTGTAGTTCACCTACAATCAAAGAGCGTTCTGAACCCCACCAATGATGGAATTGAACCAAACTTAGTACACAGAACTCCCATGACCAACAGAAAATACTGGAAGGGTTTGGTGGGCATTGTCCTTGAGTGATGGATGTGGACCAAACTTGGCACAATACTCAATATGCCCAAATGTGACACTGGTGGAGTTTGGGGAAAATAGACCTTGACATTTGGGAGTTGTATTTGGGGGGGGGGGGGGCTGTTTTTTGGGGAGGGGGCTGAGTCTGAGTGAAAGAGGGTCTACCCTAGCAAACCTTTTGTATCGTTACCCCAATACCCCCATGCATATGGGATATATTGAGCATGGTGATCAGATCATGATATGAATAAACATAACAGTTTAAATAATGTACCAGTAAGGGCTTCTCGCAGTCCACCATCAGAATTTCGGGGGGGGGGGGGGGTTGGGGTCCAGCTACATGCCTGGACCTTGACATTTGGGAATTGTAATTGCTTGGATTTATAGTTCACCTACAATCAAAGGGAAAGGTTGCAGGTTCGAATCTGGAGAGCGGCATGAACTTCCACTGTCAGCCCCAGCCTCTGCCAACCTAGCAGTTCGAAAACTGAGTCGATCAATAGGTACCGCTCTGGCAGGAAGGTAACGGCGCTCTATGCAGTCATGCTTGCCACATGACCTTGTAGGTGTCTACGGACAATGCCGGCTCTTCGGCTTAGAAATGGAGATGAGCATCACACCCCAGAGTTGGACACGACTGGACTTAATATCAGGGGGAAAACTTTACTTACCCTTTACAATCAAAGAGCATTATGAACCCTACCAATTGGGCCAAATTTCCCACACAGAACTCCACAACCAACAGAAAATACTGTGTTTTCTGATGGTTTTTGGCGACCCCACTGATCTCTCCCCCCCCCCCCGGTCATGATTCCCCAGGGGTCCTGTCTCCCAGGTTGAGAAACACTGTTTTAGACGGCCCTGAGCTGGAGATGCTGTGGCAAAGGAGGCAACAGGGCCTGGCAACATAGGCTTTGCGGAAAGCGGCGGGACTCCTGCATTTTCCCTGACATCTTCTCTCCTCCCACCAATGAGCAGCTGCTCTTCACCTTCACACACCTCCGTGGCAAGAGGGAGGCAAGATAACCCCCCCCCCCCTTTCCCCACTATTTCAGGGTGCAATTAACATGTGGGCTCCTCTTTAACTTGAGGAGGAGTTCTCCAGCAAAGAATACAAAGTACTTCACCAAACTATGGGTTCTCAGGTTCTGTCAAATGGAGCCATGGCAGTGAAAGGGCCTTGTTGTTGTTGTTGAAGGCTTTTATGGCCGGAATCACCAGGTTGCTGTGAATTTTCTGGACTGTATGGCCATGTTCCAGAAGCATTCTCTCCTGACGTTTTGCCCACATCTATGGCAGGCATCCTCAGAGGTTGTGAGGTCTGTTGGAAACTAGGCAAGTGAGGTGTGTGTGTGTATCTGAGAATGGCTGCCATGGATGTGGGTGAAACATCAGGAGATAATGCTTCTGGAACATGGCCCTAAAGTCTGGAAACACACAGCAACCTGGCCTTGTTGTTGTGTGCCTCCAAAACATTTCCCACTGGTGGCAGTCCTAAGGGAAATCTGCCATGGGATTTTCTGAAGCTGAGAATGTGTGACATAGAATCACAGAATAACAATGTTGGAAGAGATCACATAGGCCATCTAGTCCAACCTCCTGCCATGCGGGAAAAGCACAATCAAAGCAACCCCAATGGATAGCCATCCAGCCTCTGCTTAAAAGCCTCCAAAGAAAGAGCCTCCATGACACTCCAAGGCAGAGAGGTAAGTAATAAGATAAGGCTGAAAGGGCCAAATCAGATTAATACAGTACAATAATAATAAGAACACTTTATTTATATTCCGCCCTTCTCACCCTGAAGGGGACTCAGGACAGATCACAGTACACATATATGGCAAACGTTTAATGCCATTTTGTATAGACAATACAGAGAGACAGAACAGAAAGAGGTGTGTTGTTTCAACTCAATATCCAGCTTTTTGGTGTCATGGAAAGTTGGACTTGAATCCTTGAAAGGCTGGGCTTGAATCCAGCCACAGGGGGTGCTGTCGCTCCATCCTCTATGACGAAGAGCCATCAGGACTTCCTCCTTCCTTTTGGTTGCCCAGCATTTTCTGATCTTTCTTTATAATGTCATAAAACACCTCCCCTGTGGTATTAGCGATATCTAATTTCTCTAATTACAGATAAAACTGTTTTTGAACTGCTTAGGTAAACAATAAGCTAGGCTGACAGTCGGCAGCTTACGCTGATCCGGGGCTTCAAACTTGCAACCTTTCAGTTGAATTGCTGGTGACTTACCAGCTGTGCTAAACCCCAGCCCCCTGCTAAACCCCTGGCAGGGACAATAATAAAGTGCCAGAGTTGAGAATCAAGTTAGAGCTAGAGGGGCCAATTCATTTAGTGAACTGCTTAAGCAAAGGCACATTGGAACAGTCATATTTTTAGGTCTTTACGGAAAATGGACAGAGTGGTTTTTATAAAGTTTTTAGACTTCTTCACTAAAGAGGGCTGGTACCCAACTGCAAACCCCAGGATTGCATACCATTGATCCATGGCAATTAAAGTGGGGCCAAATGGTAGGTGAAGCCATGGTCCATTCAAATCCCTACACCACACTAGCTCTCTTGTGGTAATCAATTGTTATAATTGTATGGAACATACAAATCTCAAAATACAAGAATCCCCCACCTCTTCATCCTTTGGCCTTCCTTAAAAAGGTCCCAGTTGCTTTAATCCTCTTGCTTTACTTTCTGTGCAAGAGTACTGTACCATCTTATCCTTTTGGCTGTTTCATTGTTCCAGAAATTTTTCACACTTAAAGTTATTACACTTTAGAGCCACTTTAACTGCCATGGCTACATCCTATGGAATCCTAGGATTTATAGTTCAGTGAGGTACTAGAGGCTTAGAATTCTTAGAATGACCCACAAAACCGCACAGCCCAAGATTTAATTGTCATGGAGCCACGACAATTAAAAGGCACCAAAGTGCTATAATGTAGTATGTGTGCCAGAATGTTTGGCAGTGGTTATATAACATTTTTACTTTATCATCATTATTTAATGATGTTTTTATGTTGCTGCTCAGCTGGAAACGCTCCTGGAGCAGTTTATATAGAGTCCAGTCGCTTGCCCACAGTTTTATATATTTAAAAAAACAGAAAGGAAAATAGAATGGAGAGTTAAGAAGACAAATTCAATCACTCAGTAGTTATGGTACTATTGTCCTATTTCCCTTCCTATCATCCTCTATAGTCACATGGGAGAACAGCTGCTGCTGCTGGAGAAACATATACTGTTATCCCTCCCTCTCTTCCTCCTTGAGTGCTGCTAAAGTAATGGTAAAGGTTTTCCCTTGACATTAAGTCTAGCCGTGTCCAATTCTGGGGGTGGGGGTGTGGGGGGTGGGTGGGGTGTGCTCATCTCTATTTCTAAGCCGAAGAGTCAGCACTGTCTGTAGACACCTCCAAGGTCATGTGGCCAGCATGACTGCCTGGAGCACTGTTACCTTCCCGCCGGAGTGGTACCTATTGATCTACTCACATTTGCATGCTTTCAAGCTGCTAGGTTGGCAGAAGCTGTGCCTAACAGTGGGAGCTCATCCCGCTTCCTGGATTTGAACCACCAACCTTTCAGTCAGCAAGTTCAGCAGCTCAGCGGTTTAACCCGCTGCACCACCAGGGGCTCCATGGGTGCTGCTACACTGTAAAATCAATGCAGTCTGACATTGTTTAAACTACCATGATTCAATGCTATGGAATCACGGGAGTTGGAGTAAATGTTTAGGTTTCTCTGCCAAAGAGAGCTAGTGTCTCATCAAGGATTCTGTAGCATTGAGCTATGGTAGTTAAAGTGGTTTCAAACTGCATTAATTCTACAATGTAGATGTACCCTCCTTTAGACACAGTCTGTTTCAGAGTATCACTAATCAAAGTGACTAGTCACTTGTGTTGTAATTTTGTAGCTGTACCGACATATTAATGTAGTATATATTTAAATGCTAAATCAGAACACATCATAACCAGGAAAGAGCGCCTGGTGGTGCAATGGGTTGAACCCTTGTGCCAACAGGACTGAAGACCGATAGGTCTGAGGTTTGAATCCAAGGAGAGCGCAGATGAGCTCCCTCTGTCAGCTCCAGCTCCCCATGTGGGAACATGAGAAAAGATTCCCACAAGGATGGTAAAATATATATAAAAAATCTGGGCGTCCCCTGGACAATGTCCTTGCAGACGGCCAATTCTCTCACAACAGAGGTGACTTGCAGTTTCTCAAGTCACTCCTGACACGGAAATAAATGTAACCAGGATAACACATTTCTGCGTTGTTCCTGCTGGGAAATGCAACATGGTACAATGAAAATCGAAATGTGATAATGTGACTTTTAAATCAAGGATGGGCGAATAGTGATCCTCATCAACACCTGTGGTTAAGGACAGTCCAAAAATATCTCTATGAGCACAAGTAGGCAATGACAAGTTGAAGGCTAACAGTAGGTTTGGATGAGTGATTTGGATTGGGGAGATCAATCAGCAGTGCATTCCTTCTGTAAATGGCCCTGATCTCAATTGTGTTTTCTTTTTCTAGACTCAGAAAGCATCATGGACAAAATAAATTGCATTTTGCTTACTGTCTTCATTATCATAACAGTGTCTTGCAATTATGGTAAGTATCCTACTGGGTATTTTTCACTGACACTGAAGAAAATGGATCAGTTGAACAGTTAACACTAATGCATCTCCTTTTTGATGGAAACTTGCAGAAATGTGTTCTTTTTCTCTGGTTCAATAGACTCTGGTTTAAAATATTTCGGTTGATTGTTATTTTGGTGGATTCTTTAAGAGGTTATTTTCCTTTGGCCATATCATGAGAAGAGATTACTCTCTTAAAATACAATAATTTTGATACTGTAGAGGGAAATAGACAAACAGGAAGATTGTATTTCAGGTGGATAGCCTTGTTTAGGAAAGCAGCAGCCCTGAGGCCAGGGTGACTTGGAGGTCTCTCATCCATGGGGTCACCATAGGTTGAATTGTACTTAAAGGCAGTTAACAACAAATATATTTTGTTTGCATTTTATTCTATTTTAATAGTTTAAAATATTTTTGTCACTTGAATACAGTTTTGAGCTATCAATAGAAAGAAGTATAACAGAAGAGGTAATGGGGGTGATGATATACAGAAATGTTAGTGACACTGTGCCTAGGTGGCATTCAAGGGACATTTTCCAGACAGGTTTAAAAATAAGGGAGAAGGCAGGAACAGTTCCTGAATGATTTGTGACTGTTGTTATTGCTATGTCACCATGTCATCTTAAAGTTATGGTGACCCAAAGATGGAGAGCCCTCTAAGAGACTCCGTTTTTAATAATCCTACAAACTCAGGGCTGTGGCTTCCTTGACTTGACTCAATCTACATCTACTGTTGCCTCCCACTTTTACTGCTTCTTTTCACTTTGCCAAACTGGGTGGGCCTCATGTCACTGGTTTCTTAGTAGTATTCTTTTGTATTATATTGTTTCTAGCATGCACTTTTTCCTTGGTAGTCAAGCAGTGCTTCTTGTAAATCAGAGCACAGTCCAGGGTAACTCCCAGGTATTTTGGTGTGCTGCAATGACTGGCACAACCTGGGCATCACAACCAGACACAGCAAATACATCTGCCCTTGCGCTTTGCTATTCTGCTGCTGAATATGCATGCCCAATGGGGAACACATCATATCACGTTAAGACAGTGGATGTGACTCTTAATGAGACATGCAACATTATTACAGGATGTCTATGCCCCACACCAATGGATAAATTGTACCGTTTAGCCAGTATTGCACCACCTGACATCTGCCAGCAAGTGGCAGCCTATAATGAAAGGACCAAGGCATTGACATCTCAAGTCCATCCCTGTTCGGATATCAGCCATCAAACCAATGCCTTAAATCAAGAAATAGCTTTCTAAGATCTACAGAGATATTCACAGGATCACCTCAGCAAGCGAGAGTCCAAAAGTGGCAGGCTAAAACTCAGAACCTCAATCCATGGCTGATACCAGATGAGAGACAGTCTCCTGGCCACACAGGAGACTGGGCAACTTGGAAGGCGCTGAACAGACTGCGCTCTGGCACAGCAAATCAAGAAATGGGGTTACAAAGTGGAGTCCACAACATGCGAGTGTGGAGAAGAGCAAACCACAGACCACTTACTATAATGCAACCTGAGCCCTGCCACATGTACAATGGAGGACCTTTTTACAGCAACACCAAAGGCACCCCAAGTGGCCAGCTACTGGTCAAAGGACATTTAGTATAATGCCAAGTTTTTAACTTTGTTTGTGTTTTTAAATACAGCATAACTGTACCCTCTATTCACTTCTGACACAATAAATAAATAGTCGTGTTCTGTTAAAAGGAACAAAACACTGACCCTGTTGCACAGTTTTGCCCAGTGGAAGTAATCTTTATATAGCTCTTAGTGGCTGGATTAACTACAAGATGGGATGAATAAGAGAGAGTTGAGTCTGCTACATGCACCTTTGAGTTCCTGCAGCAGAGTAACTTGATCACTGAGATCATTTGCTAATAAATTCAGTTAGTCAATGAAGCCACCAAACTTGCTTGGCTTTTTAATATATCTAGTATCTGTTATTTTCTTTTTAGTGGGAAAAATAAACGGCCAAACAAGATGAAACTGTTATCATAGCATTCGGTGTTATGGCTTCTGGAATCTGATTCTTAAGAAAAGTATAGACAGTTGGCCCTCTGTATCTATGCATTTTGCATCCATATATTCAATCAACCACAGCTTGAAAATGTTTGGGGGTGAGGTGGGAATTCCAAAATAACAAATCTTACACACGCTGTTGCAGCCTGACACCATTTCATAGATATTCGATCTCTTTAAATATCCACACCTCAAAACAACAACATTGATTTTGTCATTTTATATAAGGAGCACCATTTTACTTTGCCACTGTATAAAATGGGACCTGAGCATCCATGGATCACACTGGAATTAAACCCCAGCATAATAGAGGCCCACTGCAATAGAGTTTTAAAGAGTTTGTAAAGCACAGAGGCTTGAATGTGGGCTGGGAGATCCTCAGCTCAAGTTCTGCTACAGTCATGAACTCATCAGGAGGCTACAAGAGAACAGCTGAAGAGCTGCCCTGCTGGATTATGTAAAGGCCAGTCTCATCCAGCATTTGGTTTGCCCAGTGACCAATCACAATCAAATGCCCCGGAATGGACATGGATTAAACCTCATCCAACTGATGTAATGATAGCTCCTGATAGCCCTGTTCTCCATGAACTTAGTATTTAAAAGTTTTCCACTTTGACGGCCACTGCTACAGCATAGGGCAGTCTAACTCTGTCCCATGAGAAGAAGTGCTTCCCCTTTTCTATCTGGAGGCTCACACTGTTCGGTTTCAGTCAGTGATTCTGAGTGTATAATATTAGGAGGAGAAAAAACTCCTTCTTTTCACTATCTCCACACTATGCACAATTTTATATAACTATGCCCCTCCTTTTTTGAGCTTCTAACATTCTATACTTTCTTCATAAAGAATTTGCTCTGGGCCCTCAATAATGTTGGCTGTCATTTTCTGCACCGTATTTACCTTTATAATAGCCTTTTCAGGTGCCGTGGAAGCGACTGTTTTGTCATCCTCTGAATGTATACATACGTACAGTTCAGGATAGATTATGTAAAACAGATACATATTTGTGTTATACCTGTATCAATTACATTAACACAGTGCCCCCTCTTTTTCAGGCTACGCACTGCGGTGTTATAACTGTGAGCAAAGCCCATTCCTGTGTAGGGGGAATGTCACTTGTCGTGATGATGAAGATACATGTTTACAAATCAGATTTGGTATGTAGAGTTCAGAAGAGCAAAATTATTGTGAATCTTAGTGCTGTCTTAAAACTTCATCAGAAGGAGTTGGAGAAAGCAGGGAAAATCATCTTCTTTGCATGTAGAATTGGCTTCTTTGTATGGAATTCCATCTTTCTCATGTTGTTTAAGATATCAGGCCCTTAAGCGAGGATGAACAACATGTGGCCCTCCAGATGTTGTTGGACTAACGGTATCATCTGCCCTAGCATGGATAGGTAATACGAGGAATGACAATCCAACAAGATCTGGAAGGTAACATATTCTTGGTCCTTGTCTTAAGCCCTGTCAAAGCTTAATACATTCAAATGCACTGTAAATGTAGCCAAGTAGCATTAAGTGATCCTGGTCAACCAACATATGGCTCACAATTTACGGCCCCCTGAAGCTTCCCAAAATTGCAAAACATCCCCCATTATTTTTATTTAGCAAATTTCACTTTTTCAAATGCCCCAAATGTTCCAAAACTACTTCAAAGCAGCTTTTCCTTGTGTTCTTGAAACTTTCCAAACTCTTTTTTAAAAGCCTGACTCATCTGACAATTGTATATAACAAAAATACCACTTGTATAACATAAACAATGATATAATTCAACAACAGTATATAAACATGCTGCACTGTTAACCTCACAGCGACAACAAACAGTATGGTGCAAACTTTTAGTACAGTCGTATTTTCTTATAAGTGGCTTGAGTAACAGCCTACCACAATTCAACAACAATATATATACATGCTGCACTGTTAACCCCACAGCGACAACAAACAATGTGGTGCAAACTTTTAGTACAGTCGTGTCTTCTTATAAGTAGCTTGTGGGACAGCTGACCACGACCGGTTTCAAGTGTATAACTTTTGGAAGTACTAAAGTGTATTGTAACCTATGATGTTTAATGATACAGATGTTCTATATGTATGCTATTGTAGTAAAACGTTGATTTGTACACTTACAGTCCACCAGAGGCCTGAGGTAGGCCGAAACTGGTCGTGGTCGGCTGTCCCACAAGCTACTTATAAGAAGACACGACTGTACTAAAAGTTTGCACCACATTGTTTGTTGTCGCTGTGGGGTTAACAGTGCAGCATGTATATATATTGTTGTTGAATTGTGGTAGGCTGTTACTCAAGCCACTTATAAGAAAATACGACTGTACTAAAAGTTTGCACCATACTGTTTGTTGTCGCTGTGAGGTTAACAGTGCAGCATGTTTATATACTGTTGTTGAATTATATCATTGTTTATGTTATACAAGTGGTATTTTTGTTATATACATTTCACTCAGGAACCCATCTATATCATCTGACAATTGGCCAAGAATGAAATTAGGAATGTTCCCCATCCCCTTTGTAGATGTTCTTTTCCATGGTTGGCTCTCACAAGTAGCAGGCTAATGTTGGCATTTTTGCAGTAGCTGCATGCCAGACTCAAAAGCATTTTCAAACAAACCAGATGTATGACTATAACAGCAACAAACATGATAAATAAATAGATACTCAGATGCTCCTGCTGAAAGAGGTATTCTCTTTTAACTTAAACCAAAATTATATTGTTTAACTGGGTCATCTAGAAGGTTCCCTTCCATTCTAAATTCAATGCAAAGCCAAATGTGTCAGAGCAATCAACGTTTTCTTTTCTAATTTGGGTATTTCATGTCTTTAACAGTAAATTTGAGAACCTATAGCTGCTGGAAAACGTCACGCTGCACGACACGTGAGGTTGCTGAGCACTTTAATGCTGACAGTTTTAGATTCCTTTGCTGCCACAGAGATTTCTGCAACAACGCCCCAAGCATCTTGCTCAGTTCGGCTCCCCTTGGTATTTCTGCAGTGACTGCGATTTGGATGAAATACCTGTAACACAGAGATTAAAAGAAATGTGTTCTCTGTATAACACACCCACATTTGAGTTGGTATGTCTATTGCAATTGTTTGGAGAAAGGTCAACTTGTCTTAAAAAAAAAAGGTAAAGATACATTAGAGGATAAGAGAAGGAAGACTGACATGTTAAGTTTCTTCTTTAAAAATAAGTAATGCCGAAGTATTTTAAATATACCAGTTAACCAGAATATGCACTCTTGTATACAAAGAGCTTATTTTCTACCAAATATTCTCAGTTAGTGATGGTTTGATATATTTTGAAACTGGTCAATCTTAGAGCTTGTTACCCTAATTTGTAACTTCAACAAATTTTGAAACAGACTAGTAATTATTTCAAAGTAACATTTAACTTTTCCATTATTTCAATTCAAAAACGTTTTTAGTAATTTTAAAACCATTTCTAAATAGTAACAATTAACAAATTATCAATCCTACCCATTTTTAAAAAGTCTTTGATGTTTTGAGGCTAATGTGTTGATGCTGCCCACCTCAATGATGTTTATATAGTAGCTATTAGCCTGCTTTAAATGACTCCTGTGATATCGATGAATAGATAAGATAGTTTTCTCAGTGCTACCAGAAATTCATATTTGTACTAGTGGGAAAGGCAATTTCCATTCTGTATGATAAGCCACCACAAAGAAGTGGCATGTAACATACACTTAGCCACCCCAGAGTATGGCCTTTAATTTAAAGCAACCTCTTCTTAACAAAGGGACGAAAATAATGCTTCCTCATTATTGGCTATGTTACTTAGGACTCCTGAAAATTTAACTCCAGTTTAACATCTGGAGGTCACATGATTCCCTTCCCTGACTTAATGGCTATGATCTGTAAGTCATTCTTACGAGTGTGGTATTTTTCATCTATAGGGCTTTGAAGACAACAGATGAGTACTGGCCAATAAGATCAAAGACAAGTTAACAATAACATGTCATCCTGAGTGACTGCATTCAAAGCTCACTAACAGAGACAACCATCTGCAATGGTTGGAATTCGTTTTATTCAAAATCCATTGTTAATTAATGTGTAGCCTACAGTGGATATAAAAAGAACCTACATGAATGATACTGAAGGCCTATGTTGTCCTATATTCACTTTCCGCAGAGCCAGTCAGATGTCTATGCGAAGCCCATAAGCAGGACATGAGTGCAAAGCACCTTCCAGCTCATGTCCCCCAACAACTAAATTTGTCTAATCTCCTTTTAAATCCATGCACGTTGATGAGCATTGCTACATCCTGGGGTAGTGAATTAGGTCATCCAACTTTGTACTACGTGAAGAGCTGAGACAGTCCTAGAGTGCAGACAGGGACAGCCGGCACTAGCACAACAGCCCCTCACCACTCCTTGTTACAATCCAGTTATACAGCTAATAAATGAATAACACACTTGTTTCACCTAACAAGTGTAGTACACCCATTGCTACGATTGCCTCCTGGTCCCTTCTTCTCCATTGTATCTTGGAAACTTCATTACTTCCTAGGCCAAAAGCGATGGTGTGCATGGAGTACCCATGCTCAGTACATTCTCCGTACTCAACTGCAAAGCAGGTAGTGGTGCAAGAATGTTGTGGCTCATTATAGATCACACATACTAGTACTCTTTTTTATTCTGAAAATGGGTATATGTACTGGATTTCCATTTCTAACCAACCTCTTTAAAATACCATGCATTTGTAACCCATGAGAACAACGCCTTAACATGATGAGAGGTTAACTAGAGCTCCATTTGTCTGGATTCTAACTGGCGGAAAAGTTTTAAAAGAAAATGGCAAGTAGTGAAGGACAACCTGAGTAGCTTAGCTGGAGGAACTCAACACTGGGAGAGGCTTAGTCATGAGATAATAGGGAGGAGAGTGTACTAATTAAACCTGGTGGCTTTCATTCCTGGAGCTGCAATCAGATTGAACAAGTTTGATCCTGCCATTTCCTCTGAGGAGATGTGAAGTCACCGTGATAGAACTAACTGGACTGTGATAGAATAATGTTCAGCAGTAGTTCTCAACCTTTGGGTCCCCAAGTGTTTTGGCCTACAACTCCCAGAAATCCCAGCCAGTTTACCAGTGGTTAGGATTTCTGGGAGTTGAAGGCCAAAACATTTGGGGACCCACAGGTTGAGAACCACTGATGTACAGGTATCTTTACAGTATTGTGGTTTGAGGGCATTCATACAGACATGTTATATGAACAAGAAGATCAGCAGCTTCTCATCTGAGAAGTCCACAGGTTGATGTTAGTTTGGAATCTTGTGACCAGTATTTCTACCGCTGCCTTGTAATCCTCGTGGACAGGGGCGGCTCAACCCATTACGCAAAGTAAGCATTTGCAGTATAGTTGATTTTGCCCAGGGGCGTTCTTGAGGCGCTCTTGGGGTAAAATAGACCTTGACATATGCAAGTTGTAGTTACTGGGATGTATAGTTCACCTACAATCAAAGAGCATTCTGAACTCCACCAGTGATGAAATTGAACCAAATATGGCACACAGAACTCCCACGACAAAGAGAAAATATATATCAGTGATTGGTTGGGGCGGGGGGGCAAAATACTGTTTGCTTACCATTGAAAATTACCTAGGGCCGCCTCTGCTCGTGGAAAACATCATTTTAGTCCTGAGCTAGGACCTAAATTCCCCAAAAGGCACCAGTTTCCTACCTGACTTTGAGAGTTAAACAGGTCAGCCCTGGTTAGTATTTGCACTGACAATGAAAACAAGATGCTGTCATCTATATTTCAGAGAAAGGCAATGGTAAACCATCTGAGTATTCCTTGCCTAAGAAAGCCCTATAAAATTAATAGGATCACCATAAGCCAACAAGTGATTTGGAAAGACACACATATGAGCTTTATGTCTTTTATAATATAAAGAATTCATTCAACTTATTTGCAGTTTCTTTATCTTGTTTTAGTTCGTCTTTAGTAGTTCCGTTTACTTAGTAAAGGTGACCCAAAGGGCCAACCTTGCTGATTTACCTGAATAGAATGACTGGCAAAACACATGCAGTATAGTTAACATTTAATACTTTCAATGGCTAATCAAAAATGCAAATACACCTGCCTCTTGGCATCAGCTGAACTGAAGTATGGTTCCAGGACCCTATAATCCATGGATACTCAAATCCCTTTACAATTGATGGCATGATAAAATGATGTACCATAAATAAAATGACAAAATCAAAGTTTATGTTTTTTGGGGAAAATTGTGTGGGGGAGATATTTTCAAGCCACTGATGGTTTAATCTATGGATGTGGAATCAATTGATGTGGATGGCCAACTGTATTCAATTTTGCAGTTCTTGCCACACTTATAAAATTACCTAGTTAGCATTGCTGTGGAATATATATATATATATATGCTTACACTGTTGTGTATTAAATATTTCTAAGAAACTGTTAAAGGCCTGTGAGAGAGCACTAGCTTTTAATTGCTGACATTGTATTTACCAAGAGACTGGAATAGACACCCCCCCCCCCCCCCCCCCCAATATCTGAAAGTAATCCATCTGCTTTCCAGGATCACATGTTCGTAAGTACGTATATATGTTTTCATGTGGTAATGTATTACTTGTGGGAGAAATGAAAAAAATCCTTCAAAATACTTTAGCTGCTGATAATGTTCAGCATCACTATAATCAAAGAGTATTAATAAACTACCACTGACTGACAACAATCACAAACAGGTGGAGAAATGCCACTTTTTTCATTGTACACTTTGCTTGTGTGGTCAGAACAGTTTTATTAGCCATTCTAGAACATGGTGAAATCACTTGAAACTTAATGGATTATGACCTCTTTCAATGTATATAAATGTATAAATAAATATACTGCATTTATGAGAATAAAACCACTATCGTGCTTTGTACTTTTCTTTGGTAATAAAAAAAAACACAGAATGGCATTCTACACTGCATCATTGGCCTTGCTGGCTGGGAAATTCTGGACACTGTAACCCTTAAAAGGTAACCTTTTAAAGCTCTGCAGTTAGTTTAGTTCCATCAATATCCATATTTTACATTCAGTTGCAATGCTTCTTGATAAAGCTTTAGATAGCTGTCTTTCCCATTGCTCTATGGAGATGCCAAGAACTGGGACCCAAAGGTTGAGAACTACTGCTGAACATTATTCTATCACGGTCCAGTTAGGGGTGACTTCACCCCGTACTTTTCCTCGCCAAGAACTGGATCTGGAATACTCTGCATCCAAAGGATGTGCTCAGCTCCTGAAGTTACATTCTATTTTATTTATAGTTGCTTGGTGTCCTTTCTCACAAGGGGTGTCTCTTATTTGAGGGCCAGAAAGTATTAGAGAACATAACTTTTTAGAGAAGAGCCAAAAAAGAGCAGAATCTCCTCTTGTAGTATACAACCAACTATAATTATGCTAGGCAATGGTTTCAGTTGTTAGACTGAATAACCAGCAATCTCCTCTACTCCAGTGTACGCTTCCACCCCCAACTCCCTTTCATATACCCTTTCCCCAGTCGTTCCAAATTGTGATGGCCAGACAACAAACGTCCACAAAAGAGCACTAAAGAAAGTCCTTAATGCACACCAATGTTTTGATGTGCATTAAATCCAAATGGTGGATTTGGACTTCAAATCAGTTTCAGGATTTCCTGTCTGTACAGAGGTAACACTTTCTTCCATACTGGCTTGACACTGCATTCAGTGGCCAGTGTAGATGGGATCTAAGTTAATAGAAATAAATCAGGCTATTTCCAGACAAGAATGCATTTCTTGAATGAATGTCCTTCCTAATGAGGACCATAACTTTTTGGGGTGGGGGTGGAATTTGGTTCTTTCAAGCTCTCCATCCCACTCAACATCTTTGTTTGTGAAACAAGTAAATCTGTCATTATCCAGCCCAAATGATGAAGATTTTAGCCAAAAACAAAGGTCTTGCTCAATTAATAATAATAATAATAATAACAATACTTTATTTATATACTGCTCTATTTCCCCGAGGAGACTCAGAGTGGTTTCCAAGTAACATCATCAATACATACAGAGTAAACAACATAACCATAAGATTAACAAAACAATATAAGCAGAAAAATTGTCGCCATAACACATATATATTAAAAATAATCCTGCCTGTTCAAAACAATTTCAATTTATTAAACTATACAACAGAAGAGTAGATTAAATGAAAACAGTTTAATGAAAAGAGCACAATGCCTCTGTGCTCAGTTGTAGCTGAGGCAGCAAACTATGTTTTCCAGATGTTGAAGCACAACTCTCATGAGCTCTAGGCAGAATTGCCAGCTATTAGAAATAATGTGAGATGCAGTCCTGTCCCATTTGAAAGGCCACAAGTTGCTCGCTGCTAGATGAATGAGAATCAGCATATAACAAATATTTTGCATTGTTCAACTCAAGAGTAGGAGTGGCTTGTAAAGCTCTGGTGATAAAAAAGCACACAGGAACCATAGGAGAAAAGTAAGAGTTGTGAGGATTGAGAAGGCTCTTCTACAACATCCTTTCCTCTCTCATGCAGTTTCTATGTGCCACAAAAAGGAAACCATGATTGTCGAAAGCTTTCATGGCTGGAATCACTGAGCATTATGGCCATGTTCTAGTAGCATTTTCTCCTGATGTTTCACCTGCATCTGTATTCTCTTGAAGGAGGCTTTGGGGGGCTTCAAGGGGCTTTGGGTGAAAATTAGCAATAAGCTAAGCTGTGTAACGGAACAGAAGTGTGCCCCCTCACTGGAAGAAGGAGGGAGAAAAAAGGTTAAAAGTTCAGACGCCTCTCTTTTAGAGATGACATTTTACTGCTTTCATAGGAATTTATTTTTTTCCTGCAAAGCACAGGAAATAGAGCCAGGAAAAGAACTTGGGGTTTTCTTTTGTTAAAGGTTAGGACAGTTAAGCACGACAAGTGATGGAACAAAGTAAAAGGTTAAAATTGTTGGTGTCAATTGTACTTTCCCTTTTGCATTGTTTGCACAGGTGTATAAAAGTCAGCAGAAACAGAGGAAGGGGCGGCAGTCACTTGAAGGGTAGCATCTGTGTATGCTGCCAGGCTGTCCGTCTTCTTCATGAAGAAACTAAAATAAACCTTGTTTTTTGATCTTTTGTGGGACTGTCTCCTTCCTTACGTGTTCCCGTGATGTGGACCTAAGAAGACCCAATTTAGGGTCTCTAACACTCTGAAGATGTCAGCCACAGATGCAGGCGAAACATCAGGAGAAAATGCTGCTAGAACATGGTCATACAGCCCAGAAACCACACAACACCCTCTTCATCAACAATCAGATGCCTCTTCATCAAGATCAGATATGGGGAAGACATGGAATCAAAAGCTAACCTGATTGTCCTTTCATGGCATCAGCATGAGCCATCTCTATGGATTTAGGCTACAGTGTGGACATCTAAATCAGTGGTGTCAACCCCATTTTCATCGAGGGCCACACCAGTGTTATGAC